GTCTTCACTGCTGCTGCGCTGCAGCAGCTGCAGCAGCTCTTCGGCGACCCCTCCGGGCTTGCTGCTGCGCCCCGCAAGAGGCGCTACCACTTGCTGCGGCCGCTGCTGCAGAACCCCGACGTCGCCCGCGTCGTCAACAGCGACGAGGTCCAGGCCGTGCTGCGCCCGCAGCAGCAGCAGCAGCAGCAGCAGCAGCAGCAGCAGCGGCGGCGCAGGCAGCACAAGAACCTCCTCTCCAACGCCGCCGTCCTGCGCCGCGTCAACCCTGCTGCAGCAAACCTCAAGCGCAACGCCCGGCTGCAGCAGCAGCCCGGCAGCAGGCCCCACGAGATCCTCCAGCGGAAGAAGCAGCAGGTCCGGCAGCAAAGAAGGACCCACCGGAAGGCAGCCAAGATCTTCATGCACCAAATCCGGAGCGCCTTCTCCGACACGGCCCGGGCCAACATTGCTGCTGCCAAGCAGCAGCAGCAGCAGCAGCAGCAGCAGCAGGCCTGACCCCGGCGCCGCCGGAGCTGCTGCTGCAGCAGCGGCGGCCGCGAGAGCAGCAGCAGCAGCAGCAGCAGCAGCAGCAGCAGGCCTGACCCCGGCGCCGCCGGAGCTGCTGCTGCAGCAGCGGCGGCCGCGAGAGCAGCAGCAGCAGCGTGGCTCCGCGGACCTTCGCTCAACCAGTGACGCTTTGCTGCTGCAGCACCTGCTGCGGCAGCAGAGAAACGCACGAGCTGCTGCTCACGCGCCTTTGCTGCCGCCTGGGCAGCTGCGGCTGCTGCTCCGCTGCAGTTCGCTTTGCTGCTGCACTTCTGCTGCTGCGCCTCGTGAGACTCCAACGCTAATCCTGAGCTGCCCACGCCCATTCCGGCCCGGGGCCCCCGCAGACTCTAAACCCTAAACCCTAAATTGCGGTTTACTTCCCAGCAGCGCCCGCCGAGCCGTTCTTATTGTTGCCGGCAGTGCCGCACCGGGCCGCTCGGGAAGTGAATTGGTTAGTTAGACTTTTTAGTTAGTTATCTTCTTCTTAAGTTAATGTACTTTAATACATACATTAAAAGGAATATTCAATTCGGACTTCGCGAAACTCAAGACAGAAACGGTCCCGAGCCACGGAGTGTCTGTACACGTACACCCGAAACTCGTACGCCCAAACTTCGGAGCAGTTGCCCCATTTGGGGTCTAAATAACCTTAAATTGGATCTATTTGATGCCAGAAATGCCACAATTTGGTTTATTTGCTGCTAGAAATGCCGTAATTTGATCTATTTGCTGCTAGAAATGCCACTTAAAAGACCAAAAGCCTCTACTTCGTCTTCAGGAGCGCGCGGCGCTGGGCTGTACAGACAGCTCGATCTTCAGAGACGCGACGAGCAAATAGAAGCTGGACTGCGACTTAAATGCACTTTTGCTATTCGTTTTAATTTAATTAAATAAAAAACTGAATTCAATCCATTATTTCTATTTATTCTGCTTCTGCTGCTGCACGGAGCGCCCCAGCAGCCCCCAGGAGGCGAGAGCAGCAACCAGCGGTGTCTGCTGCTGCTGCATTTGCTGCTGCTGCATTATGAATTTTTATCTAAAGCTTTTATTCCCTTTTGCTTCCTGCAGCAACAGCCTGCTGCTGGTGCTGTGCTGCAGCACAACCACCACCACCACCTGCAGCAGCAGCAGCTGCTGCTGCTGCTGCTGCTGGTGTGGGGTGGCTGCTGCGTGGAGTCTGCGCGTTTGGTTGCTGCTGCACCGTGTCTCTGACTCTGGAGAGACAAAAGAGTTGAATTTGATGATTTAAAAGCATTAATTAGCAGCAGCAGCAGCAGCAGGGAATTGGGCGAGCAGCTGGGAGCAGCAGCAGCAGCAGCAGCCCTGCACATTGCAGCAGCGGCCGCGGAGCTGCAGCAGCAGTCGCCCCACGCGCGCTGCTGCTGCTGCTGCTGCGCTGCTGTGCTTCTGGGTGCTGCAGCAGGACGTGGGTGTTTTTGCTGGCGAAGAAGCAAGTGGTTGAAAGCTGGTTTGCAGTTCGTTTCGTCTGCTGCTGCTGCTCGTGGTGCTGCGTGCCGCTGCTGCTGCTGCAGTCCCGCCGCCGCTGCTGCTGCTGCTGCTGCTGCTGCTGCTGGGGGTCCCGGCAGCAGTCGCTGTGTGGGTGTTGCGAGCCGTTTGCTGCAGCAGCAGCAGGCGCTGCTGCTCGTGCGGGCTTTGTGCGGGGCCGCCGCCGCCGCCGCCGCTGCCGCTGCCGCTGCTGCTGCTGCTGCTGCTGCTGCTGCTGCAATGACGATGGAGGAAGAAGTGAGTCCCGCTGTTGCTGCTGCGCGCGCGAAGCTGCGCGAAAGGCTGGGGCAGCAGACGCAGCAGCTGGGGGGCAAAGGAACAGCAAGAAGGAAAGCAGCAAAGAGCCACAGATCTGCTGTTGGCGAAGACAAGCGGCTGCAGCAAGCAGCAAAAAAGGTTGGTGCTGCTGCTGTTTATGGCATTGAAGAGGCTTATTTGCTGCGCAAAGATGCCACGGGACTCTTCTTCAAAACCCCCAAAGTCCTTGCTGCTCCAGCAGCAAACACTTACATTCTTTCGGGGGCTGTGGAGGAGAAGCAGCAGCTCGAGCCGCTGCTGCACGCCAGGGGCGCAGCAGCAGCAGCAGCAGCAGCAGACGGGCCCGCAGTCACCTCCGAGATGCTCAAGCAGCTGCAGCAGCACGTCCAGAAGTTCAGCAAGCAGAACCAGCAGCAGCAGCAGCAGCAGCAGCAGCAGGAAGCGGACGACGACGTCCCGGACCTCGTCCAAAACTTCGAGGAAGTCTCCAAGCAGTAAACCCCAACAACTGCAGCAGCAGCAGCAGCAGCAGCAGCAGCA